CAAGCCGAGATCTGCAAAACTTGGCAAGGAGTCTCAGAGAGTCACAAACCAATTAAGCAAACTATTTGTCTCCTGCAAACTCCATTCCCCTTTTGCTCCTCTTTTATTTCTTCTGGGAGGGTCCACTCATCATCCACCTGTGGCCTTACTCCCAAGTCGACCCCTGTTCTTTAGCTGTTCCCTTCGTCTGGCAACTCTGCACATGCGCACACTGGGAACAGGCTCCAGCTGTTCCTCTGCCTCACTGACTCTGAAAGCAGCTGATACCTGGCATACGGCTCTGCCTCCCACAGAGAGCCCTCATCAGAGCCTTCCCCAGACTCCAGCACTGGCCCGTGTTCCTCCCCAAATTCCTCACTGTCCGAATCTGCTGCCAGCTCTGCCAGCCACTGGTGAGCCACAGCACTTGGGAGAGCTTCGAGCCCAGCCCCCTAATCAAGCAGGAGACCCTATACCAATTCAGACAATCCAGTCGTTTTTTTTTTAAAGCCATCAGTTGTTCCACTGGTTGATTGTTTGAACCATCCGGAAATTCCTCCTTAGTTCTAGGTTGCTTCTTTCCTTGATTAATTTCCACCCATTGCTTCTTGTCCTGCCTTCTGATGCTTTGGAGAATCAGTTGACCCCGCCCCTTCTTTGCGGCAGTCCCTCAAATGTTGGAACACCGTTATCAAGTCTCCCCTGGTCCTTCTCTTCACTAGACTAAACATAGTCAATTCTTGCGTGTCCTTGTTTATGTTATGGTTTCTGGTTTGCCGTTACAAAAAAATACACCCTAGGCATTATTTGATAATCTACCTGTGATTTTGAAAGTTGGGCCGTAAAGAAAAGAGGAAGAGGAGAAGAAAATTGGTTTGCTTGAGCTGTGGTGCTGGAGAAGGTTCCTGCGCATTTCTTGGACAGCAAAGGTGACTGACAAGAGCACATAACACACGACGTGTGGCTGGAAGGCAAAACAAAATCACAAAACTGCATCTCACCTACTACGGATGTCTCGTGCGAAGGAGTTTGCTGGAGAAAGCAATTACGAACTGGAAGTGTTTAGCGGTGAAAGGAAACCAGGCCAGGCAAAGAACGCAGAGGATGGGCACCATCGAAGCCGACACCAGCCAGAGTGTAGAACAATTCAAAGGCGCAGGGCAAGATCAGAAGAGGTGGCCCACAGAATCACCAAGGACACGGCTGAATGGATCACACCATCGTCATACTTAAACGAATCCTTGCATATATATACAATGGAGGTAGTGACAGGTTTTATTATCCTGGTCTCCAAGGTCACCGCAGATGGGGATCCTGCAGCCAGGAAATTAAAAGAGGCTTGCTCCTGGGGAGGAAAGCTGTGGCAAAGCTAGGCAACACACACCCTGCCAACAAAATGCATACGGTAAATGCTCTGGTTGTCCCAGTTGCAACGGATGACTGTGAAAGTTGGACCATAAGGAAGGCTGAGCGCCAAAGAATGGAGACTGGAGAAGACTCCAGTGAGTCCCTTGGACTGCAAGGTGATCCAACCGGTCAGTCCTAGAGGAGATCAACCCTGGCTGCTCTTTAGAAGGCCGGATCCTGAAGAGGAAACTCAAAGACTTTGGACACCTGATGAGAAGGAAGGACTCCCTGGAGAAGAGCCTCATGCTGGGAACAATGGAGGGCAAAAGAAGAAGAAGGGGACGGCAGAGAAGGAGGTGGCTGGATGGAGTCACCGAAGCAATCGCCGTGAGCTTCAAGGGACTCCAGAGGATGATAGAGGACAGGAAGGCCTGGAGGAACATTGGAGGAACAATTTCCATGGCTGTTCCCTTTCTCTATTGCACTGTGTTTATCTTTCACGACACTTAAAAGAACTGTTAGCATTCCCCCAAGAACAGTGTCTAAAGCAGTTGCTATGAATCTTGCGGCTAGAGTGCCTCTTTCAAGTTCACTTTTTGGTTCTGGGAAAAACACTCTGGCGTCAAGTGTTTGAAGGAAATCTGAAATGCTAATGTCAACAGGGCAAACTACCCATAGCTAAAGCTCGGGTTTCATATCATCTCTCCAGCTTCGGAAGATCGGTTCTTTGGTTGGGCAGCTTCTGTTTTCCTTAGATAAGTTTAGTTTGCTTACCTCCTGCGCTGTGGACATCCCAGAAGTCAAACAGGAGAATCACTTTATCTGAGAAAAAGAAATGCATCTGTAGGAGGTTTGGGGAAGGGGGAGGGCAAAAGAAAACCAACAAAATTAAAACATAAGTATGTCTCCTATGGCTATACATTAGTTGATTTCAATGGTGTTCTGTGGTCCCGACAAAAAAAACCCTTTTTATTAAGTTCCTGTGAATTCTGCTCATCCACATCCAGCAAAGTCTTTCAAAGGAGGATTTACAGTCACAGACCTTCTCTGGCTTGGATATATCTGCAAAATATCTGCAAAACCTGGCAAGGAGTCTCGGAGAGTCACAAACTAATTGTCTCCTGCAAATTCCACTCTCCTTTCACTCCTCTTTTATTCCCTATGGGAGGGGCCATTCACCGTCCACCTGTGGCCTTATGGCCCTTGTTCCTTAGCTGTTCCCTTCTCCTGGCAGTTCTGCGCATGCACACATCGGGAACAGGCTCCAGCTGCTCATCTGCCTCACTGATGTCTGACTCTGGGCAGCTGATAACTGGCATACGGCTCTGGCCCCTCTCTACCTCCAACGCAGGTCCCATTCCATTCTATTCATTCCATTCCATTCCATATTCTATTCTATCCGTATTCTATTCTAATTCTACTCTACTCAACTCTAATTCAAATTCTATTCTAATTCTACTCTACTCTAATTCTACCCTACTCTAATTCGTATTCTGTTCTATTCTAATTCGACTCAACTCTAATTTGTATTCTATTCTATTCTATATTCTATTCATATTCTACTCTAATTCTACTCTACTCAACTCTAATTCATATTTTATTCTATTCTATTCTAATTCTATTCTACTCTAATTCTACCCTACTCTAATTCGTATTCTGTTCTGTTCTATTCTAATTCGACTCAACTCTAATTTCTATTCTATTCTATTCTATTCTATTCTATTCTAAGTAATTAAGAAAAGGTTCTTAGTGGAGGCCAATTTACAATTTTGTTTTTTCCCCCAGAAATTAATACTTTCTGAACGGGATAAAACCAGTTGGAATGGAACAATTCGTAGGCAATTGGAGGCAATCCACGTATAATCTCTTGCCATGCTGGTTAGTATGAAACAATAGGCCAATTCTGCCTATGGTAATTTTTGATCACGTGAGCGATTTCTATTTACGGGATAACCCATGATTATCCGTCATCTTACTCTACCTAATTGATGCCTCTTACTTTTCCTTCCCATCAAAGGCAGTTTGCAAATGCACCTGCTCTTTCCACAAAGCATTAACCTCCAGGAAGTTCGGCTTCTCAATTGAACCTGGAACCGAATTCCACCCATTCTCAGAAAGGATCTCCAAACCGCCCAAATTATAACACATAATAATAAACCAATCACTAGGGACAAATCTGGAACTATAAACTTTAGTTTCGTTTAGTGTCTTTGCACATCGTACAATGAAAATTAAAAGCCATCCTCAGTGTACATTATAACTATAAAAGTAAATCACAAAACACACCTCCTTTGTATCCTATACAATTGAATTGAAAACCCCTGATACTGCATTAATATTGCACTATACAGTAGAATTAGGTCTTTGGCCGTGTTTCAAGGGAGATAAAGGTGGGCACTTATGAACATTACCCTGAAAGACTTTGGCAGACTTCTGACGGACTCTTCACAGACTGGTTGGGAATCATTACGGGCTGCAAATGAACAGAATTCCCAGCCGTTTAAATAAAAAGAGGGCTTTGGGGACTAAGGGTGTGGTTTTTACTGTCTCGGGAAGCCTAGGTGAGAACAGGTTTGTAGGCGAGACCGATTTGCCTAGGTGTGGTAACAGTGAGCACAAGTGGGGCAGGGAGGGGGAAACCATGCCAGCCAACAACAACCACAGCAGACGATTTCCCAATCTGCAAGGGAGATTTCTGGATGGAAGTGGTGACTCTCGAATCAGATGGCTCTTTATGTAACCATTCCTGCAGGAGGAAGTTGAAGAAAAGGCATTCTCCCACACTCGTGGAAATCCCAAAGCTAGAAAGGAGGTCACACATACACAGTCACACCTGGATGCATTGCGCCTTGGAGGGGTCCTTGGTGCTCTATGCACTTGGTTGTTTTCTGGCAGACGTTTCCTGACCCTATTAGGTAACATCATCAGGGTTATCATCATCCAACCATAGCCACTAGGACAGTGATGACGAACCTTTTTGTAAAGGCATGCCAAAATTCTGCCTGCCCACACCCACAATTCAACGTGCCCTTCCTACCGGCTCATGCACGCGTGACCCCTGCCCCACGCATACACATCCCCCGTGCATGTGTGTATGACTCCCCCATGTGGGGGGAATTTTCCTGAAGCCTGGGGAGGGCAAAAACAGCCTCCCCCCAGCCCTCCGGAAGCCCCAAAATCAGCTGGCCAGCAAAGATGGCTCCATAGATTCTCCATCACAGCACTGGGATATAAATTGAGACCAAACCCCACTCCCTACTAGGACTGATAGTCTTACCTAGTTGGGTCATGAAACATCTGCAAGAAAACAACCCAGCTCAGAGAGCACCAGGGACCCCACAGCCCTCCTCCTCCCTTTCTCCTCTACTCCTCCAACCCAACTCTCTTCTAGCACTGATGATGTTGCCTAGTTGGTTCTTGAAACATTTGCAAGAACGCCCTCACACTCAGAGAGCACCAAAGACCCTCATTCCAAGCTGCAAACATTCTCCTTGGGTTTTCATCTGCTACAAATTTATTAGAGCAGTCCTGGAGAAGCGAAATAAAATTTGTTTAGGCCGAGCGTCCTAGAAAACCCAGGCTGACGGCTTTGAACCCACCTGTTGAAACAGGTATTTCTGGCAAGTTCTCCAACCAAAAATGGAAAGCCACCCACCTCCCCGAATGGGATCTCCCCCCTGCCCCTGATCATGGATAGCCCACCCACCCAAAATGGGGTTTCAACCTCCTATTTTTGCTAACGGCCCCTTTCAGGCTGCCTTGTTTTCTATTCCAGCCTTCTCCAACCACTCTGCGCACCAGCGGAAGGGAAGGGGGGGGGAGAGGAGATGGCACACGCGCCCCCTACTTACACAAATGGAGCCGTGCCCGTTCGCAGGCTGCTCAGGTAAGTGTAGCGGTGCATGTACACCTGCCTGCCCCTTCTACTACCATGTCCCAGGGAATGGAGACCCCCTGTTCTGTTCACTTTTACAGTCCGAGTAACACAACTCAAGTAACACAAACTGTGTTTGTGACGGGAAGTTCCTTGCAGAACAGCCTCAAAGTCTCTAGCAGTTTTTGGGGTAGTGTGAGTACTCAGTTCTCATATATTGAGCAAGTGAAGAGGAAAAGGGTGTGTAGTTCGCCTTCAGAAGTTTTTGCAATCCTACTCAAAAACTGAAGACGTAGGAATCCAGTTCAGTATTGGTTGACATTATAAGAGAACAGCTGTTTTAACAATGGTTCAAAGCTTTAGGAATCTGATAGCCCATTTCTCCAACTGACACGTTCTATTAAGCTCATCAGTTTTCATCAGGACCAGCCCATAATCCCCCCTCCCAATTTTTTAATATGTTTTATATGTAGTTTATCCTTCAACAGCCATTAATACATAGATTGTGGACGGTGTATTAACTGGGTCACTATACTTTTTACACAAGCTAACAGTAATAATAAGGGTAAGACGCTGAGCTTGTCAATCAGAAAGGTCGGTGATTCGAATCCCTAGCGCCACGTAATGGAGTGAGCTCCCTTGTCCCAGCTTCTGCCAACCTATTAGTTCGAAAGCACGTAAAAAATGCAAATAGACAAATAGAGACCACCTTTGGTGGGAAGGAAACAGCGTTCCGTGCGCCTTCGGCATTGAGTCATGGCAGCCGCATGACCACAGAGACGTCTTCTGACAGTGCTAGCTCTTCAGCTTTGAAACGGAGATGAGCACTGCCCCCTAGAGTCGGGAACGACTAGCACGTATGCGCGAGGGGAACCTTTACTTTATCTTAACAGTAATAATACAATCAAATATACATAATCCTAATCTTTCAACTTCTAACCTTAACATGCACATTATAACTAGAATAAGTTATTTTATAATCCAGTATAATACTATTTATACTCATCTTCCCACCTTCCCCCATTTGTCGGGGTTCTTCTACATTCATGCGTCTTTTAAAAATGCCATTCTCTCTTTATGATTCTTTATCACTTTCTTCATAAATACATCGATGACCTTTCTTCACACAGTGTATTTTTTGTCCCCTGCTGAGTCACGAATATTTTAATATTTTAAAAATATTCCACGATAATTCCAATATCCTAATTATCTAGAAACACCCGTAAGACCAATTGTTTACGAGGTTTAATCAGTCCTGGGATTATATCTCTGAGTCCTCTAAATTTCTACTCCTTGAAAGTTATAACCAATTTCGTTGTATTTATTTTGTACAATAACAATAAAGGTTAGACTATAAGTTTCAATGTACTTTTTACACACTGTTAATAATAACAACGCAATTAGGTTACCTAATCATAGACTTCCACCTCCGAATCTTAATTTTCTTATGATTATAGTAAATTCTATTACCTATCGTGTACTACTATTTTCGCAATTTATACTTTCTACTTTTTTCTTTTATTTCTTAATACAATCACCATATTGAAAAGTATTTTTTTGTCTCTATCCATTATCTCTTGCCATTTTTAAAATTCATCGTTTATATATTTATATAAAATATCACTCCTTTATATATATCTCTTGGAATATCTCTTTCTAACATTGTTATACAAGCTAAATATTCCCTCTGGCTCAACCCCCAAATTTTGCCTTTTGATGAAGAAAGTTGGTTGGAAACGGTGCTACCAGCCTCCAGATTTTGTTCCGCCCCAGTCTAATATCTGAACTCAGTGAATCTTAAATAAGTTTATACGTTTTCCACTTTCTGAGTCCCACAGTTGGTTGACCAAGCCATTTGTTTTTAATCACACGTTGCCTACCATTCTAGTTTATATTATATTCCCTTCAGCACTTCGGGTTACATTGTGTATCACGCTTTGTTAATCAAGTGGCTGCATAACAAACATTTTTTTTTATAACAACAAGAACTTTAAAGAGATCAGGAAGAAGTTCCAAACTGTCACCACCATCCTCGGATGCTTATTTACCCTTTTTTGCAACAATTGCTAAGACAAAGTAACAGCGAAACAAAACACTTGTTTTAGCAAAACAACAACAACAACCCACCTCCCCCCCCGTCG